ACTAATTGGCTTATAGCTTTGACACACGTATAGTAGTCTAACTTTTTAGTGAATAAATACAAAAATGGAATTCTTGTACTAAAAAACTGGAGAAAGGAAACACAGCCCGCTCTTTTCCAGCGCCCCCATGCTAGACCACCAGTAAGTGCAGAGATGTTTAGCCTCTTAAGATCTTCTAGCACACACAAAAAATAAAATCAAAATATTGTGAGTGGGGCATGGGCAAGAGTAGTCATTTATTTGAACCTATAATCTTGCCTGCTGAGCTTTTTAAAACATCCTATGGCTTTTTTTTTTTTTTTTTAAATGAACCACTCTCATTCTTTCTTTGTACTTTTCAGTTTTCTTACTTACGTGGATTCAATAAAATTAAAACACTTTCCAGACAACCGGAAAAGGTGTGAAGGACCTGTGAAAACATACAAAATATATATATAGCGATAAGAGATTTGTCACGGTGATCAGTGAATAATATATACACACACACACACTACATAAAAACACATTAGAGCGTTTAGTTTTATTTCATTGAAAAAAATATGAGTAAACTGATAAATTATTTGCCAGTCAGAAATCCTCTTAATGTGTTTCACAGCACGCTGAAAAGCTTCCGTGGCTTAAACTCCTCTTATACCCCTTGAGAGCAACTAACCACAGAGAAAGACTATGCCCATCGACTGGGAGGGTCTTCTAAGTGCATTTAAGATGTGGATCTGGAGCGGTCAACTTAGTCATGCTTTCCAAAACCAAGTCCACCGTTTTGATTATGGAATAAAAAGTCCCAATGCAAAGATTGTTGGCGATGCTAATCTACATTTTGTTATTTGATTATTTTTGAGATTGGCAGTGACCATCGGAAAAAAAAATTTGTGAAGGAGACAGCTCCATGTGGAATTCTTGATGACTGTAGAATATCAATATTACATATTAAAGTAACAGAGCCACTTTAACATATCATATAAGCGTTTGAAAAAGTTCAATCTATGGTTGCTGAGTTTCTGTTCAGAGGAGACATAGCTGGTAACTTGGAGCCCAGAGCTGAGCTTGGAGGACCAACATGATAAACTAGTGGAATGTCCTCTGTAATGCCCAAAGTTACTGAAAATCTGTCTGTGACATCCTGAATAAGAACAACTCTTACAGTGAGTTGTCATTTTTTTTTTAAACTTAATTTCTTGGAGAGAGTCTTTACCATTTTGGGGTTTGTTCACTAACACCACGTGGAGACCTGCTACAATTCAATTATTTATACAAAATGTACAATATCATTGACACAAGGGCAAAATAGGTAACATAAGCTACTGCAGTACTATTTGTAAAAAAAAAACAAAAAAAAACACCATCTAGCTGCATACTCACTGCTGTTAGCCTATGATTTTCACCTCTCATTGCTACAGAGCTATAAAGATAGATAAAACACTTATAAGTGGAGCAATGCTGGTTCACCGGTGAGACCACATTTATTTAGCATTAGTGCACCACAAGAGGCAATTTCACATTTTCAGTTAAATAATGCCCATCATTAATTCACAGAAAAAAAAGACTGTGTCCCTGGAACATCTTTTGTAATGAATTAACGCTATAAATGGGGTCTGGGTCTCATCAGTGAACCCACAATTCCCTTATCATTTCTCAACAATTGCTAATTTAGTAAATAAACGCTGTTTTTTTTTTTTTGTCTTATATCCAACTCCGTGTATCCATTAGAAGAAAGTTACATTACAGTACATATCCTTTATTTTCAACTGTTATACCTGAAATAGGTGACGGATCCATTTTTCTTTGTAGTTTGTTTGTTTGAGATAAAAATGGATTGTTCAACCTTAAAAAAAATAATTTGGAAGAAAAATAAATAAAAAGTCACAGTGACCAATGTCAGCAGCAATATAAATAAATTGCTAATAAAGTCCTTAACACAAAAAAACAACATTTTTTAATAAATATTGTGCTTTACATCCCAGGATATTGTGTGATACCATTGCCAATCTATCATGTAATAACTTAAAATGGTAAAAAATATGACATAGCAAAATAATCCATGAGCACGATTTACAATAAGGGCATGGAATGTCATTGGCCCTTAAACAAGATGGCCACAATTGATCACCTGCGGTCACTGGGGGCCCAAAATCAAAATGTTTGCTTTTTACTTTTAGTCTGTCTTTGCACAAACTGTTATTTATTTAGGAGAGAAGTCATCACATGTGTGTACTTATTGTTTATGTTAAAGCAACAGTTCAGGCGCCATAGCCACTAAAGAAATATGTAGTGGTTATTGTGCAATGAGTGCCCCCCACCCCACCCTTCCTCTCCTCTCTTCCCCACCTCCACTACTTGTTATGGAGAACTTGAGAGAACCTTAGTGGGAGCTTCCATGGCTCTCCTTTTCTAAGATCTCCCATGCAGGTCTAGTTCAATAGACGAGAGAATCAGAAGATTGTTCTCACCCAATGAGCTAAGCAGTGCTCCAGCAGGCTTAGCTCAAATAGGCACTTTCCAGCTCTCCAAAGAAAGTGGTGGTGAACGGCGCCTGGCAAAACCCCAGGATAGATGTTAAACCGTCCTAAAACAGTTTGACTTCCTACAATTGGGGGAGGAGTGCCTGGTCTCTCCAGGCTCCAGAACAACTTCTGAGTGCTGCAGTGTTCCTTTCAGTTGTTGTTTCTATGTATGATTCGGCTTTCAATGCATATTTATATTGCAACCTCACTTTGTTGTCGCAACAACATTTAAAAAAATACATCTTACCCAGGACATTCAATATTAAATTTCCCCTGATTCCAGTCTTAGACACCCCAAATCAATCCTTACTGAAGTCAGAGAGGACTCAAACTATAGAACAAACATGTTAACTGAAGTCCAGATGAAAACATTTGCAAAGCTACATGTTGGCTACACATGACATATTAGCTGGTAAAATCATATCTGTTCTAAAACACTTACCCAAACGTGTTTGGTTCTTCAACAATCTTCATCTTCGTTGCTGCTACATAGTACACTAAAACAGAAGATTACAAATGCTGTCAGAACTAATGTTTTGGCGATCCTGAACAGAACATTTATTGGACAATTTGGCATTCAGTACAGTTAGCTTGGGGGGTAAACGCAGCTGGGTTGCTGCTGAAGTGAATACGAAAATGGTTTGACTCAAATCAGGGGGACTCCTAGCAAAATAACTAGGTGCTTAGACTGCTCCTTTAATAAAGTGACCTATTTACGAATATAACCTCTCTGATGCCTAAATTCTGCTCATTCGATGAAGAAGTAAAATTAAATAATCCTTCTTGGAGAAGATGGACACATGGTATACAGTGCCACAAACTACATCACTGTGTGCCATCAACTGGAACATAACACATAACTAACAAACTACATTTTTTTCCTTTTCAATATAAATCTTTGTAAAAGAATGAAAACATCCCATAACCTCTTTACTAAACAATATGTTTTATTTACACTGCAAATCTGAACGTCTTTGGAAGCCATTTAAATTCGTTCGACCACCACTGTGCAGCATGTGTTCATGGGAGCTCCCAGAGCAACACGGGGAAATGAAGACTTTGTGGAAGGTCAGTGCGTTTTTTTCCCCTTTTTCTTAATATTTACACCCAGTGAGTATATTAAAGGGGAACTGTCACTTTTTTTAATACTATGCTTACTTATGCCTTTATCTAAAAAAATAAATAAAATAAAAATTATATATATAATTTTTTTTCTTTTTTAAAGAGGGGAGAAATTAAACAATTAGGAGTAATATATAAAGAGTAATTCTGGCCCAAAGTTCTAAAAGTGGAACAATCGGCAGGAATATTGCATTGGTTTCTATGGTGACTAGGACACTTTTAGAACCCTGCTTTTAGAATTTCTTTTTATATATAATGTCCAGTGTTTCTATTTAGAAACATAGAACATAGAATGTGGCGGCAGATAAGAACCATTCTGCCCATCTAGTCTGCCTAATTTCTCCTCTTCAGTTGAAAAGTTTGCCTTGTCTGAACCGGATTATGATGTAAGCTTTGATATAAATGTAAAAGAAAAAAAACATTTCATGAAAATAGGTAATATGTGTTTTACGATGATTTATTTCATGGTGTAAATTCAAGGGGAGGGACAGTTCCTCTTTAATAGTGTTTACTGGAAGTGAGTTAAAGAGGAATTAATACTTTTAGAGAAGTGACTGTTCCACTTTAAGGATTTGAAAATTAATTACAGAAATTTCACTCTGGGGTTTAATTACTAAATAGGGGGTTTACACTGACAGAGGGACTACAAATGTGGCTATGTTTGCATAAAATTCCACAAAAGGACCACGACACTGTCCACATATCACACTGCTACCACTGCAAAGAAAACAACGCTTTAATCTTTGTACATGACAGAACCATGGAGCATTTAAAAAAAAACTTTGTTCTGAATCACAGACAGCAAATTTATTGTTAAGATCATCGCTCTCTGCCACAAAAAAAATTATTAAACCCTTAAAAGGTCTCAGTGTCGTTCAACTATGTAATATTTCAGTAATGTTTATTAATAAAACCTCTGAATTACAATATACTGAGCATCAGAAATACCCAACCACTGACTATAGTAGAGATGGATATATTATTTATTTTGACAGAATTTTGCAATTCAGATTTCAATTCTCTATAGTCACCCCCGATGTTTAGTAAATCACCCCTCCTATGTTTAGTAAATAATAACCCCTCCTATGTTTAGTAAATAATAACCCCCTCCTATGTTTAGTAAATAATAACCCCTCCTATGTTTAGCTATCTCTCATGCAGGGTGTTTAGAGACAATCCTCTCATGCCTTGATACATAGCAGCAGGGACCTCATTGCCCATAGGAGGGTCTCAGTGTGGCCCCCGGGTTAAAGACCTCGAACAATACCCACCACAGTAGAGTAGGAGCCACGGCCAGGGCCCCATGTTGCTCCCAGCAGCTGACACACACGTGTCTCCTCCCAACCCGGAAGTGTCGGCGCGGTGCATGGTGGGTAAGCGGTGGCTTCCATGCTGCTGGGCTGTGTTTGGGGCTCACTGTAACATGGACTGACGGAGGGACACACAGGCAGGTTTAATGAACATGGCTAACGCGGTATTTACTTACATAGCGATCTGCTGCGTGGGTCATGTTAGTGTGCTGGGAAAACCAAGATGTTTATTATTCTGAGACTGTGTGAATCAGTGTCAGAGAGACAGGGGCATGTGTGTGTTAGAGAGTGAGGGACTGACATGGAGTATTTCAGAGAGACAGAGAGTGTTAGAAAGTGAGGGACTGACATGTGAGTATTGCAAAGAGAAAGACAGTGTTAGAAAGTGAGGGACTGACATGGAGTATTGCAAAGAGACAGAGAGTGTTAGAAAGTGAGGGACTGACATGTGAGTATTGCAAAGAGACAGAGAGTGTTAGAAAGTGAGGGACTGACATGGAGTATTACAGAGAGAAAGAGAGTGTTAGAGAGTGAGGGACTGACATGGAGTATTACAGAGAGAAAGAGAGTGTTAGAGAGTGAGGGACTGACATGGAGTATTACAGAGAGAAAGAGAGTGTTAGAGAGTGAGGGACTGACATGGAGTATTACAGAGAGAAAGAGAGTGTTAGAGAGTGAGGGACTGACATGGAGTATTACAGAGAGAAAGAGAGTGTTAGAGAGTGAGGGACTGACATGGAGTATTACAGAGAGAAAGAGAGTGTTAGAGAGTGAGGGACTGACATGGAGTATTACAGAGAGAAAGAGAGTGTTAGAGAGTGAGGGACTGACATGGAGTATTACAGAGAGAAAGAGAGTGTTAGAGAGTGAGGGACTGACATGGAGTATTGCAAAGAGACAGAGAGTGTTAGAAAGTGAGGGACTGACATGTGAGTAAAAGACAGAGAGTGTTAGAAAGTGAGGGACTGACATGGAGTATTACAGAGAAAGAGAGCAAGTTAGAGAGTGAGGGACTGACACATGAGCACATAGAGACAGAGAGTGTTAGAAAGTGAGGACTGACATGTGAGTATTGCAAAGAGACAGAGAGTGTTAGAAAGTGAGGACTGACATGAGCTGCAGCAGACAGAGAGTTAGAAAGTGAGGGACTGACATGAGTATTGCAAGAGACAGAGTGTTAGAAAGTGAGGGACTGACATGGAGTATTGCAAAGAGACAGAGTGTTAGAAAGTGAGGGACTGATATGGAGTATTAAAGAGACAGAGTGTTAGAAAGTGAGGGACTGACATGGAGTATTGCAAAGAGACAGAGTGTTAGAAAGTGAGGGACTGACATGGAGTATTGCAAAGAGACAGAGTGTTAGAAAGTGAGGGACTGACATGGAGTATTGCAAAGAGACAGAGTGTTAGAAAGTGAGGGACTGACATGGAGTATTGCAAAGAGACAGAGAGTGTTAGAAAGTGAGGGACTGACCTGGACTTTTGCAAAGAGACAGAGAGTATTGCAAAGAGACAGAGAGTGTTAGAAAGTGAGGGACTGACATGTGATTATTGCAAAGAGAGTGTTAGAAAGTGAGGGACTGACATGGAGTATTGCAAAGAGACAGAGAGTGTTAGAAAGTGAGGGACTGACATGTGAGTATTGCAAAGAGACAGAGAGTGTTAGAAATTGAGGGACTGACCTGGAGTATTGAGGTATGAAATAGAGTAAGAGAGGCAGTGGCATGTCAGTATTAGGGGCACAGTAGCCTGGGTTAAGTAAATAGAATATGGTTGGGTGGGTGAGCATTTGGGAAGTTGGTGTAAATGTTGACGAGGAAGGGTAAATGTGTATAATAGTTTATAAATATAAAGTGGCACCTTTTGTCTCCTGTTGTATTCTTTTAAAAAATTTTTTTTTTGTAAACTAAGCAAGCCATGGGAAGAACAAAATCACGCAAAGATGGGAAACCTATAAAACATAAAGAGTCTCGATTTAAGAAAACCTCTAAAAGTCTGGAAACTTTTACCAGCGAGGTTCATGAAGCATTAGATGGTAGGTTAACCTTATGGTCACACATGCATGCATCTTGTCATTTTGTGGTTTAAATTTGATTCTTGTTAATTATTTCAGTTGAAGATGTTTTAACCCCTTAATGATCAAACCTCTGGAATAAAAGGGAATCATGACATGTCAGACATGTCATGTGTCCTTAAGGGGTTAAGGAATAAACCAAATAGAATGTCTCTGCTCTTCATCGTGTCTACACCTTCGTGCAAGAGTAGGCAACCTTCATCACTACAGATGTTGTGAACTATATCTCCCATAATGCTCTTAAAGCTATAATGCTGGCAAAAGTATCAGGGGAGATGTTGCTTACTTTGATGCACCCTCTCATGAACTTTCTTTATGTAGTCCTAGCTACACCTCCCCTGGCTGTGACTCACACAGCCTCCTTGGGAAAAAAACATTTAATTTTTGCAGCTCAGTGTGTTTAGTTGAGAAGTTCTTATTTCTTTCAATGAAATTCCAGTCAGTCAAAAGCTATCATAAGACAAAACAGGAACTATTCTTCCTATGATTGAGAAGACTTGACAAAAGGCATAGCTGCTCCAGTCAAGTTTTGTCAATTACTCCAGCCATCACTCATAACAACTATAAGGGAAAAAGATATTGTGTATGTAGAGGATCTTGTGGAATACTCCATAGACATCAGAGTACAGCTCTGACGTGGGTTCCTGGCAGGTGAAGTGCTCAGAGCTGAAGACTGTCCCTTGGATGGACTGACATGGGATCCTGTATTCATTGAACCATTACACATCAAGCAACCATTGTGGATGTTTGCAAAATGTGCAAAGACCCCCGAAGGTGACAGACGCTTTAAATAGTAAATGGACTAGAATGGCAAATAAACTTGTATCTGTCTCCCAATCACATTTCTATGATACTATGGTATCTGTAGCCTGCACATGACGCTAATTTTATCACGAGTAAGTAATCTGTGTATTTCCTGTGCCTGAAAAAACATGGATGCCTCTGATAAACTAGCATACTTTGCCACTGGTAGAGTTTTATATATTATAGCTCAGAGAGGGAGAACTACTGGTTACCATAACTCATTGTAATGAATAGTTGAGTGCTCCATCCTTCATTAAGACATGTAACTTCCCTTTGTTTTTCCATTGAAAGCCAGTATTCATGAAGGCGGTGAAGGGAGCGAGGTGAAGGTGAAATTTCCCTGTCCCTTGGCCATGTGGGACTTGGGTCACTGTGACCCTAAAAGATGCACTGGGAGGAAGCTCGTCCGAAAAGATCTAGTTAGGAGCCTACGCATTAACCAGAGGTTTAATGGTCTTGTCCTCAGCCCGATGGGAACCTTATATGTTTCTCCTGCAGACAAGTAAGTTGATTGGGTAATGTGTACTCACTGTATGAGTTTTGTTCAGTGTAATGTTTTTATTTAGTTTATTTTTTTTCTGTAAAATGTCCTCAACTCTGTTCTGTCCTATCCTTAAAGGGACACTAGAGTCACCTGAACAACTTTAGCTTAATGAAGCAGTTTTGGTGTATAGAACATGCCCCTGCAGCCTCACTGCTCAATCCTCTGCCATTTAGGAGTTAAATCCCTTTGTTTATGAACCCTAGCCACCCTTCCCTGCATGTGACTTGCACAGCTTTCCATAAACACTTCCTGTAAAGAGAGCCCTATTTAGGCTTTCTTTATTGCAAGCTCTGTTTAATTAAGATTTTCTTATCCCCTGCTATGTTAATAGCTTGCTAGACCCTGCAAGAGCCTCCTGTATGTGAATAAAGTTCAATTTAGAGATTGAGATACAATTATTTAAGGTAAATTACATCTGTTTGAAAGTGAAACCAGTTTTTTTTTTTTTTCACGCAGGCTCTGTCAATCATAGCCAGGGGAGGTGTGGCTAGGGCTGCATAAACAGAAACAAAGTGATTTAACGCCTAAATAACAGTGAATTGAGCAGTGAAATTGCAGGGGAATGATCTATACACTAAAACTGCTTTATTTAGCTAAAGTAATTTAGGTGACTATAGTGCTCCTTTAACATTGTGATGGGTGTTTTTACAGAGCATGTTGTGTTCCGCACAGGTGGATATTACAGCTCCTAAACCTTTGTTTTGCCAATAAAGTGGCTTTGTCACTTCCAGGGGTCTCTGCATATTTTGCAAAGACCCCCAGAGGTGACCTCACAGCTTGGAATGCTACGGCCCAGGAGTGCAGTATACTTACCTGAAGCTGACCTTTATTTACTTCCGTGAAGCTGTACCCCATGGGTGCCGCAGCCTGCTTTCTTCAAATCCTCTTTACATGACAAGACCAGGTCTCGAGATCAATGAGAAGTAGCCAGATTCTCACAAATGTCGTTAGTTGGCACAGCATTACAGTGGAAGCTCCATGTTTTGTCACATTCAGTTGTGACTGCAAAACAAAGAGTAGTTGCTACTTTGTCCTATATTTTTTGATTGCATTGGAATTTCAATGAAATTCTTGGGTGGTATGTTACTCCATCCCTACTCTGTTACCGTGAATGCATTAACAGGGTTTTTAAAGTGATTTTCAAATCGATAAGCCAGAGTAGCCAAACTGGTTTTGAGAATATATATATATATATATATATATATATATATATATATATATATATATATATATAAAAAAAAAACTTTTTTTTGCAAATTTGGGAAAACTTCAAACTGGGATTTTTGCCTTTTCTTGGATTATCAGCAGTAGAGATGTGAGCAAGGTCGAACTTGATAGACACAAGTCTTATTCCAAAATCTCACTGTCACTGGACTTACTGCTATTACTCTGTGGACTTTGATATCACTGCTTGCAATTGCAGTGCAGCTCGTTTCCATATCTCTGACCCCATATATTCCCCTCCACCTTGCATAATATCCACTGCATTTTAAATGGCCAGAGAGGAATGTACACAGTTATTTTAGGGCTCTATCTAGGTACGGGGATATCTAGAAACACTTTAAGCTATGAGCTAGTTTATATTATTGAAAAAAAGTAAATAGAAATTTATAGAATTTAAATAAGCTTACAAAAATCCAACCTGGGGTTTTCGTTATTCACTCAAAATGTATATCGAATGTGCCTGTGTAAGGGGATAAGAAATACTATTTTGAAAAAGGTTAATATCCTCTTATCTAATCAGCAGTCCTGTATAGTTGCCCATTTGGCAATATAACCCATAATAACATTCTATGGGGCATGGGAGCCATTTAGAATGCTCCTGATGTAAATAGAATTTAAAGATATGTTATGGACTGGTCCATGTAGGGTTTCCATTGAGTCTGGACTCTGATGTTCAACAGCATCATTACCTAAATTTTTAATCATTGTGGTCATCACAGCTCCCCTTATTTCTCAGCCACTGTTCCAGGCTCATTCGGCTTATGTTAGACACTTGTCTTGGATAGGTTTTCATTTTTTTCCCTCTCTCTCTAAGTGGGCACTGACGTACTACCGCACCTTCTGCTCATTGTGATATAAATTGATGAGAAATAAATGGCTTTGCTGTTTGCTGGCACGAGGGTTTAGGAATGGCTCATTCATAACCACAGCTCGGCAAGAACACACTGTCACTGTGAACTGAGTCACTCGATTTGCTGCCAGACATTAATCATTTTCCTCTCCATAAAGATCCGCAACATTGACACTTTTACTGAATCATTCAGAGTATACCTGTTGTGGCACAAGAAACCAATTAAAATAGATCTCGTAATCCTAATTAAATGTGCTTTCATTACTTTAAATAATATATAAGCAATTCTCAAACATTTTCTATATAGCTAGTAAAATGTATAGAATACAGAACATATAGTGTCGCGTTCACTTTTTGTTTTTTACTCTTGGGGTTTCAGACCCTGTACCTATTTGAGACATTTTATTCCATTATTTGCATCAAACTATTCCTTACTGAATCTTTTCCATTATTTTTGTTTTGATGTTTTTATTTTGGGTTCACATATTTGTCACTTTGACAGGATTATTCAATAAAGTGAGAATCCAACTTAAATTCAAAGTGAATTTCAAATTTAAGGTCAAAGTAGACAAGCTGGAGAAATTCGGCTATGCTTTAAGTTCAGCTACTCTGGCCTTAAATTTGAAATTCACTTTCAATTCTCACATTCGTGAATAATGTAAATTATTCTATATTTTGGAAATGTCTCTTACATGCATTTCACACTGAAGTGTAGTTGATCTTGAGTGACATGAACAGATGACCATGTGTTCTAAGCTATTCTCTATTTCTGAGGGTCCATGGAACATGGGATGAGCTAATAGGGTTATTAGAATTGCAAACAATCATATTGTATCGATAGCATTGACTTGTAATGCGTACACATCCATTTTGGTGCTATATATGTAGGATGTATTATCTGTGAAAGGGAAAGTCTAGGAGAATCAGACACAGACTCTGAGACACGGAACATCAAGGCAGAATGTCTTCACACTCTGTCCAGCATGTACCATCAGCTGTTGACCTATTTAACATCAATGACATTGTAAGTACTGACTTTGCATTAGCGAAGCAAGAAAAATAAATCTCTCTTATAAGAAAATCCAGGAAAGTCTGATTGCGTTATATGTTTATAAAGTTTAAGTGAAGAACTATACTATGCATGATACAAGGCGAGCCACCCAACGATAAGAAGAATTTTACATGCATATGAATATGTATCAAGCAGAATAATTATACTGAGAGTTGACATTCATTACAAATAACCTGTTGGTGTATGAAAAAAGAAGCCCAATAGTGCGCCATATCTTACGGACAGTTTACCACTGCTGTTAGGGGGACGGCGTTTCTGTGACAGGCAAGCAGCTTTCAAATTCTTCCTTTTTATATAATGGTGCGAACATGAAAAGTGAAAGTAAATGTAACACTTTTTATACATAACTATACCGTATAGTCTTTTTTGTTTTGTGTTGCAAAGAATAAATTGCCTCCTACCTTTCACTTGTCATTTGACAAACCCATATTTCTGCCAAGATTTCATTCTATCCCCCTTCTGCTTCTCTGCAGAGAGACTGCGAATGGTGTCTGAGCTTACAAGAAGTTTTGTTGGTCAAACTCCACACTAGCGTTCTTGCAGCAAGGGGGAGGAGGGCTCAGAACACACAGACTACACTAAAGGAATTTTGCAGTAACATTTAGTTCTAGGATGCCGTGTAATCTCTGCAGAAAGTTGTGGTGGGGGAGAATAAAGCTTTAAACAATATCTTGTCAAAACTGTCACAGTGGATTTTAACCTTGCTTCTGATAGGGTTATACAATAAAGACAGGTGAAAATGAATCAAGAAATTAGAACTTTATCACTGTATATACTCCTTTTATAAAACACATTTAATTGTATCCCTGCTCTGTTGAGGATTGATGTCTGCAATCTTTCTCATTAGCTAGTGGGAATTAGGTCATAAAAAGGAATTTGTTCCATCCGTATAAATCCTTCTAAATTAATTCTTCTACTATTCCCATAATGCTTCTTCTTTAGATGAACGTTTGAAGTACTTAGACCAGCGGTAGACCCTGTGAATCTCACAACACCGGAACCTTTTTTGTATTGATCTACTTGAGAAAATTACAAACTCTCCGGGAAACCTGCAGTACACTTCATCTTATTTAGCTAATTAGGGTATCCTTTCCAAATCACCTGTTTGTTTTTTGCTCCATGCAAAGGCATTCTGTGGAAACCTTTCAGTAATTAAATTATCTGTCTAGCCATGAACAGATGACCTTGTTACAATGAACAGATATTAGTTGCACATGTTCCATTTCCTCCTGCCTGCATCAGAGAATAGTGTTTCATGTCACTTAAAACTATTGGAGACGGGTAAGTTGGAGGACCAGTTACAGATGACCACATTGCACAGCCGGAAGTTTTTAAATGGGTAATCGCCACACCATAACCACTACAGCTCAGTAAAGTGAATTTGGCCACCTCTCCCTGTTTTTGTTGTGTGTTTTGTAAAACCGTTTAAGAAGAGTTTGACAAAATTAAAGACTCTCTCTGCACTCATAGCCTGCCTCCTAGTGAAGCCACATGCTTTGGAAATTCTACTCTTGCATTTAATACAATTTTGTGAGCTAGTTTGGACAGGGCCGTTTTAACCTGCTGATCCTGTATGTCATGCATATTTTGTCAGAATTAGATGTTTGTCTTGTTTCCTATTGTACAGCACTGAGGAGTTGTTGGCACTATATAGTTTTAATTTCTATAGGTGGATATAGAAGTTTTCTTTCTTTCCCAAACTGCTCTAACACAGTTTAACAGTAAACCCGGGAGCAGTTCCTATAGGCTTTTAACACCATATACACTTCAGTGAGCTAGTTCTTGACTAGGTAGAATTGTATGCTTGTCTTTTGCATATTCTGCATGTTGTGAATACATTGTTAAAGGACCACTATAGTGCCAGGAAAACCTACTCGGGGAGAGGAAGGGGTTAAAATCTTACCTTTCTCCAGCGCCGGGCGGGGAGCTCTCCTCCTCCTCTTCGGCTGAATGCGCATGCGCGGCAGGAGCTGCGCGCGCATTCAGCCAGTCTCATAGGAAAGCATTCATAATGCTTTCCTATGGACGCTTGCGTCTTCTCACTGTGATTTTCAGTGAGAAGCACGCAAACGCCTCTAGTGGTAGAGGCTGGATTAACCTATTTATAAACATAGCAGTTTCTCTGAAACTGCTATGTTTATTAAAAAAAATGGGTTAACCCTTGCTGGACCTGGCACCCAGACCACCTCATTAAGCTGAAGTGGTCTGGGTGCCTAGAGTGGTCCTTTTAAAAGGACATTATTGTCACCAAAACCACTACAGCTTAATGTAGTGGTTCTGGCGAGTATAGCCTGTCCCTGCAGCCTTAGCACTGTAAGTGTTTACTTTACAGGAACACCTTTTTAGTGGCAGCCACTCAGACAGCCACTGGAGGTGCTTCCTGGGTCAGTGCTGCACAACATGCAGCAATGACATTCAGCATCTCCACTCTCTGCATGGAGATGCTGAACTTTCCTCGTAGAGGAATTCAATGCCAATGGGAATATTATACTTCTCTTATAATTCAGGCCAATGGGAATATTATACTACTCTTATAATTTTATCCACTCATCACCTTTTAAGTTATTCAAATTGTCTCAAATTTAATTGACCTTTTGTACTATATTGTAGATTGTTATGCAGTGTAATTACACCAGATATTGGCTGCAGGAATGTTGAAATGGGAAATAGTGTGAGCTGTATCTTCCTTATTCCTTAGAGCAGTACTTTGGGTCATATGGTCCTTACTTTAAATTCTCTTAAATTTTTACGAATTCTATTTAAAGGGACACTCAGGGCATGAAAACAACAATTAAGTTTTAATGGTGCGCAGGACAGGATTTGGTTTAAGTCTTCAGGCGGGCGCCTATCTGTAACTCCCCGTTAAGAAAATAGAGTGAAAAATGTATGTGTCTCTTTTACTCTCACTCTCAATAGGGAGCTACTTTTAGGCAGAGAGCATCAAGTGTCACTCTCAGTGGCACCCAATCCGCAACTTCCTGATTGAAGCTGTAGACGTTGAGCGTAATTACAGGGGCAGAGTGAAGACTTTGGGGTTAAACCCTTCACCCTTAGGGTAAGACAACACCCTGGACCTACTCAAACCAGAACAACCTTATTGCATTTAAGTTGTTATGGTGCCTGACAAGTCCTTTTAATAAAAATAACATAAGTAGCATTTATTACAAAGCCTGTGACCTATATAAGTATTTATGGATTTTTTTTTTTTGTTCCCAGGCAGATTGTTGCAGACAATGGCGTGGCGGTAATAGATTGCTCATGGGCTAAACTTGATGACACTCCTTTTGCCAAGATGAAAGGAAGCCATCCAAGATTGCTGCCCTACCTGATTGCTGCAAACCCAGTGAATTATGGACGCCCGTGCAAACTTTCTTGCGTAGAAGCCTTTGCAGCAACATTTTGTATTGTAGGTAAGTAGTTTGCATAATTCTTTGCTACATCTGCTCTGTATAGCGATTTGAAGTGGAAGTAATCTGACAGCCAATGGAATTTTAGAAATTTCCTCAAAATTAAGTTTACGTTTGCATACGCATAAAAAGACAGCATTATGTAAAACATCTGGTCAAAACATACACCCGTGTGGGCAAAAAGAGACGACAATAGTTGAACTATTAATAAAATAGTGGGATATTAAGTAAGTGAAGAAAAAACTAAAGGAATTCAGTGATTATTTTTTTTGGATAATTTTACATTGGTGTGATTGGCTAGAAACTGTTAAATGTGAAATTGCAGGTGAGAAGTCAAACCAATCTAAAACTATTTGAGTCCTTACACTGGGGGACTCCTTGCAACATAACCACTCCAGTGCGATATAGTGGTTATTGTGCTTGGAATGTTCCTTTTTAAGAGCTCTATTATACTATGCATTCTGTGCCTCTGTTCCCATTTCGCCTCCTAGCTGTGGATGGCAGCTGGAGGCAGGGCACAACTAAATAATTGCTTTTTTATAACATGCTAATATAACACACTAGAGGCACAGTTTATCCTTTACTCTTTCTCTTTATTTGTGACTTGTATTTGGGAAGAGAGGCCAAAGGAATGATTTTCTTTCGTACTACCTCTAGTAGCCACTTTGTGTAGAACCTGCCAGTTATATCCTAAAAACTAGCTAATTGTCTTCCTTCACCTCCATCATCCATTCCCCTGTACGTCTTACCTCTAGCTATTTCTCTCCTAATATTCTGTTCCTCAGGGTTTTTTTTTTTTTGCCTCTACCTCTGTATAACTTGTATCTCTCCGTCTGACACACAGACTTGAAAGCCACATCAGGCTCACTCATACTTTTGGGACGTTTCCCCCATCTCTTGTACAGCACTGTGTAATACACTGGTGATTTATACATACTACAGTTGTTTACCTTTAAATTGTGCCCAGGTGAACTGTTTGTTCCTTTCTGAATTTAGCATACAATAACCTCTTTACTATATTGTTTCTCTTTATTTTCCTCTCTAAGGCTTTCCAGACCTGGCCACAATCCTCCTACGAAAATTCAAATGGGGAAAAGTCTTTCTCGATTTAAATAAAGGTCTGCTGGACAAGTATAGCAAGTGTGAGAACGTGGAGGAAGTTAAGAAGATTGAAACTGAATATCTAGCTGGAGAACATGATGAAGAAGCAGAGGATTATGGTAATGATTGCTTGCTACCATGAAGATTCAATCAGTTAATGCACCAACTGTGGAAACTTTTCAAAGTGTCTGGTTTTATACTGGTCGTGACTTTCCTGGTATATTTAAAATAGGGCGATGGGACTAAATATTTGATTGTTTTGATATACTGCTTTTTAAATTCATACACTAATGATAATAAGCTAAAAAAGTCATCTTGTTTCTTTGTAATATGGAAAAGGAAATAGGTGTTAACAAATGAATTTTCCTTTAACATTTCAATTCCAAACCCAAGCCAGCAGCAGTAGTGAATGCTTAAAATGTCACCTTGCCAATGACAAGTGGAAATTCTGAATAGAAACAACTTCACTGACCCCGTCAAGCAGTTATTGTATTTAGTGGGAAATATGTTTTCTTCTTATCCTGGATTTGGCTGCTGTGACAATATAGACTACATATATGTGCTGCTGCACAAGGCATCTTTCAACTCCTAGCCAGCATCCACATGCCCTGTCTGTTCCCAGCGCCCATGTTGCAGAAGGATATTTGTTATGGTAAGTAACTTTTGGACCTAGTGGTGTAGGACTTGAAATGTCATGATTTGATGTGAGCATTATATATGTGTTATGAAATTAATTCCAAAAAAGGTAATAGATTAACAGCAGAAAAACAAATTATTTTTTAAATGTATTTTTTACACAATGTATCTTTCAGTAATAATCCGTATGAACATCTTGGTGATTCAGGTTTGCCTGGTCCGTGTCTCCTTTAAGTTTTCTTAGTTTCCATAAAATGATGAATCTGATATTGGGATATTGGCTGTGCTTCCTTGTGAGGCAGTTTTCATATTGATGTTCAGAAATCTTTATACCGCCACTACCAACTCACTGAAACAGGTCTGAACACTAATGCTAACTTTAATCCAGTAACATAACTTGTATATCTCCCAGCAGAGGCATTTCCTGTGCAACGAATCTGCCCTAAGCCGTAAAATGTACCATTGTAGGAGCCTACACAAGCAGGTTAATATTGCAGATGGTTCCAGTCCTGTACTTGTACCTGTTGGAGGTTATTGCCTAATGTTTATTGCCCAGTGGAGGTTCTTATCAGATGCAGTTGATAAAAGGTCTCCTTTTGTGATAATTGTTCGATGTATGTTTTCATTGGAGCTGTTACTTCTCAATTGTAACCACGTCAGCCTACTTTTTTAAAAAGTGTTGTAGCTCATATCTATTAACATGGAGATTGTAGTGATATGTAATTTTTCTTTTCTTTTTTTTTTTTTTTTTAGATCCTTTTGATGTGGAATCTGGAAGAGAGTTTGCTAATCCCAACAGGGTCATCAAGCCAATGGGGTAACCATCATAAAATTATTTATTTTAGAAAATCCAGAAGGTTTTTAAGAGATTTGCTTATTTTAAAAGGTTTCCTTCAGGATTAGTTCAACACCAGTGTTTTAATTAATTAGATCATTGGCTCCTTACTGCGAAGTTGAGACCATTAATTGGGTACCCATTTGATGTTTGGTTCCCCATTAGTAAGGATCATTCACATCATATACTTTAAAGTTGGGGGGCGAAAAGTATGATTAAGGTTTGCTAAATTGATTTTACTGTTAATATATTACACTTGGAGAATGAGTCATTGAGTTAATTTTACAATTGGATAATGTAATGCACTATGTTGTACATAAAGAGAGAGAGGAAGACAACGATATCAGAAAAAACCTAATACGTGGTCATAAATATGGTCAGAGATGTAATGTGGGCATGACCCAAGTTAATTAGAAAAAATATACAAATAAGGTAAAAGAATCTGCCTAACAATGGTAAGAAACCCTCCTTACTGAAATTGCCTCCTAATTAAAGTCATTCAAAGGTAATGGCAAAATATCAGAAAATAAGAATAAACTTTATTTAAACAAGATCCTGAAATTAAAATACGATAGAGTAAAGTGAAAAAAAGGAGAGCAGGAGAAAGTGTCTTGTAATAATCAACACGTATAATGGGTATTGAAAAGAAAAATCTCTATATAAAACCTAAGTGTGCTGAATGCACAGAACAATATGTATAGTATAGCCTGAGAACATCAAAATGTCCGAGGTGTTCAGGATATCAGGTACACCGCAGGCAGCATACAGAACGTTTCTGGGACAGTAGGTGAAAAGATGGTCAGAGATATGTAGTAGCCAGTGGGGTTCTATGAATAAGACCCCTCAGATAGAGTCGTGGGAGTAGACCTGCATCTAGTTGAATGGAGGCATAACCCCACAGTAAAACCAATGGCAGCCAAACCCCACTCCCAAACCAGCCGTGCTAATATTCCTCCATAACTAGGAGGCTATCCAGAGATATGACTAGAGCTATCTAACCTTATCACCCAGGCTATCTGCTGCTTCATGGCAGCTAAAAGATTCTATGTATGCGTGTTTAACATAAAGAGCTGCAGCTAACACAAATGGATACAGACTATTTCCTTCTCAATAGAAACGGGAATTAAAAGAATAAGTGCATTGGCACTCGAGCTACTTAGTGTGCCGACGCACTTTTTTCTTTTAGTTCACGATGTTACTCCTTGCATTATGAAAAAAAAAATACCTGGTAGAGCATGTCTGGAAGATGTGACCTATGTAACTGACTAATTTCTTTAACCCCTTAAGGACCAAACTTCGGGAATAAAAGGGAATCATGACATGTCACACGTCGTGTCCTTAAGGGGTTAAAACAAACCGGCCTTTAAAACCATATATGGAAATGTTAGTTAAATAAAAAGAAAACCGTGGGAAGCGAAGTAACTTATTGCGCTTTCCACTTTTTTTTTTTTTTTTTTGTACTAATGTGTAACTCTGTTTTTAGTGATTTGTGGCACTGGATTCACATGTATTTGTGAATAGCACCAGATCTCACCCCAAATTCACCATTGGTGTTTATTAATTTATATTATTATATGTGGAAATGGAATGCTTATTAAATGGCAGCATGAATCTATAGAACTGCAAATGCTAAATAAACAAGATACTCTGTTGACATCGGGTCTTTAGGGACTATATAGCGATGACACAAGTGGTCAATAATTGTAAACACTGGACACAAACTTAGTGCCATGTGTGAACAAAGAATTACTGTTTCTTGGAAAGGAATCAGTTAATTGTAAAAGGCTTGTGGGAGTCTATTGTAATGTTTGTTGATTTAAAGATAATTTCCACTTATTTTAATAATGCACTATAGTGATAATATATTAACACTATAACTACATTTCTGCAGCTGCTGCTCATCTATAGGCAAGCAGCAGAGAATTCCTCCCAGGTCATGAAGATAGACCAGAACGAGAGGCTCCTGATCCTATCCCCTCCCAAAAAAACTATGGGTAGAGAAGGAAAAATGTACTGTTTGGAGCAATTTTCAGAAATCTGCTATGTACAAGGAAATAGAGTGCTCATTGTTGCATAACAAATATGGTTATGATGCTGTTAAGTATTCGATGGTCAGACACACAAATTATAAAACAAACAAAGAATGCACACCAAAAGACCATAAAAAGTCTCTATCTGTATTTATTACATCAGTAGTGAATATACAATACTAATACAGCAGTCAATGACTCAATAGGCTAAATAATAAATATTTACCACATTTCACAAGCCTAATCGGGCAGAAACACGATTTGTTTGTTTGATTTGTGTTTCTGCCCGATTAGGCTTGTGAAATGTGGTAAATATTTATTATTGTTTATTATTTAGCCTATTGAGTCATTGACTGCTGTATTGGTATTGTATATTTACTAGTGATGTAATAAATACAGATAGAGACTTTTTATGGTTTTTTTTGATGTGCATTCTTTGTTTATTTTATTATTGGTTATTTTGGCATTTGAGGGAGTACCACTAGTGAATAGCACCCTAGTAATTGTTTATTATTAATGTTTATACTATTAAGTATTCTCTCCGTACTTTGTATATTAACAGACACACAAATTAGCCTTCTAACAAGGCACTAGCCATTTAACATTTACTTGAGGAAAAAAAATATTGTATTCTTTCAACAGGACAACACATGGTGACAAAGATGAGACGGAAGAGGATGATGAAACCGATGAGGAGGACAGTGACGCAACAGATGAAGAGCAAGAAAACATTTCAGGAGAGGGAACGGAAGAGGAAGAGGAGGCAGCAGCAGCTTCGAAACCTGTTGTATGGAAAGGTGTGAAAAAGAGACTTCGAGACTAGAAATTAAAAGATCAGCATTATGGCTGCTTCGCTATGTAAAAAAAAAATCTTTGTATTACTAGTACTTGGTACAAAATCCAGTTTCTGTATGTAATATTGGTTGTTAGCCTGTAAATAATATAAAAAGACAATTATAAACTGTCAGTCTTCTTCCTTATTATTTCTGTGCTATATTCAGCAGAGAATCGTGTGTTTAATGAGATGATCCTCATCTTTAGTACAGCATATCTGCAGTTATAGAGAGGCTGTCAGCGTATAAGATGAGCATCCTAGAGCCAAATGTGACATTACAAGGAAAAATGATTCGAGGAGGTGAACATGGGGGAGCCTCACACAAGTAGACGTAACATGTATTTCCGTACATATGTAGAAATGCTCTAAACGTTTTGCAGTGAGATTGATTTGCTTGCTGTCCTGCGGTGCATGATATTGTCGATCTTCATCTTCGCAACTCCTGATTCATAGACCACTATGCACGTTGCATTCATCACCAAATCACATTCATAAACCATATGAAGTACACTCACGTGTTACTTATATGACAACAGCTGTTCTACAAAGACTTTATCACATTCAGCATCACCAACAACCACAGGAAATTAAAAATAAAGGGGAAAAAACCCTGCGCTGATATTTTTATTTTATTTTCCATTTTCTAAAATACCCCCTCACTGAGTTATCAGGATTTCTTTAGCCTGATGAGTAAGTCATTCTGCAAGCTGTCTGACATGGGCTGTTATCGATCAACTCAATAGAGGATTTTAATATTTAGTTGCCAGATTACGTGATGCCACATCTCCTCTGCTTAATATGAACAATTTAGTGCCGAATTCAGCATTGTCTGGTGGCAAATCTACCTCCGCTGTGTGACAACATTTGCAGTTAAACACTCAATGAAAACTGCTAACAAGAATATTGCAACGCCCACGGAGCATTAACAAGAGTTATCATATCACTGTAGGTTATTGGAGTGCCAGTGTTTAATGAAAACATAATCCTTTAGGTTGTTTCACATTTTATTAAATGTAAAATACAAATATAAAACATTTTAATCAACCATGTAAAATGTACTGTACTTTGCCATACTTAGATCTGTAAGGAAACATTAGCTTTTCAGACATTTTCTACATTCAGTTTACGTACAGACAGATATAAAAATATACGTAGAAATGTTAAATGAGGCAACCTTTCAGGAAATCCAATCAAAATTAACATACCTGTGGCATATACTAGTTAGCAAGACTCCCGTTTCTATGTAGAGATGAGCAAATTTGGAACTCCTTTTAACTGCGGTGTTTTGTGAACCTCGCAATTTGCATTACAATTGGGATTTCTTTTCTTTTTCATTCATTAAAAATGCACAGTAGAGCCCAGAAAATAATATTGCCTATTTCAAAAGCCATATCTATTCATCAATGTGTCATTATCTTGAAAATTCTACTGTATTCCTAATCTGGGATGTAAATCATGTAGTGCAATATTTCTTTAGCACTTGAAATAGTCTGTATGCGCAAGAAGCAACTTTGCATCAATGTCAACTGTCTGTTGCTTAATGAGATTTTTTTTTTTTTTTCCCTGAAAAATAATCTCGGTACATGAACCACAAATGTCTAAAAGTTAAAGGGACACTCCTGTTAGATTAAACGATTAGGTTTGAAAAAGAATTAAACAAAACATGTATTTATTCTCTTGCTCATTAAGCAGAAACACGCAAGTTGCCGACCACATAGCCAAAAGCAGAGAATCCACAGGTTCAACAGTGTGAACTTCAAACAGGATTTATTGGGGACAGGAACAAAAAAAAATACAACTTTTCGGGCTAGCTGTCTATACAGTAAACGGAGAATTTTTAGAGGTGCAATTATTTGGAGTGTACTTTTAACTTATTGTATTAGAATATTTTGGTTGTATTTTCTTATAAAACTAAATACTGTAGCAAATACTTTACATCTCAGAAAAGGAATGTAGTAGATTTCAGGCTGTTAACGTATATATATTTTTTTTATGGTCATTAATATAAGCAATTTACTTTTCTATTTTACTAACCCTTTATAATAGCTTTAATTATTACATGATGTCTGAACCTACCCAACTCAGTTTAGACACAACACATCTGTTTTTTGTTTTATGGTTTCAGATTTGAATCTGCTTGTCTTTTAGAAATCCATTCTGGACCATTTTATCAAAAAGGTTACACGGAACAAACTGTGAAACTTCAGGCATCTCTTACCGTGCACAGATAAAAGTTACATCACAACTGTGAATATAAATGCATATCCATAAAAGTTCACATCTCGTTTTTGGTGTGCCACATTAGCCACACTAAACACTACAATAAAGGCTCAGGTTTGAGAAGCTCATTCATAGTAAATAAAACCTTACACCCCATTAAAAATACACACACACACACACAAACACAAAGAAAACTTTACAAGCCACTATATTTTTAGAATTAGGAAAACAAAACAAATATAACTCGATAATAGGGATATTCTGCTGTTTAATGCATTGTTCCTTGACTTCCATTAACCCCCTACATTCAGTGAGCCTGTTAAAGTTAATAGGAGTGGACTGATGGAAGAATATATATTTTAAGAACCTAGTACAGTATCGTCCCTCCTTCTTTTAACTCCTATTAACCACTTACAGTCCATGCTGACAACAGAACCATCTGATATGAGTAAAAAGTCCCAGTGAAGACATGTGGACATTTTATTTGCACAGTCTTCCAAGATCGGTATCCTACACATATAATCGTGATAAAAACATGTCTTTATGTATGAATACAATTCTTGATACATGGGCAGATGATCACTCATTGTAACACCGTTCCACCTGCCTTATAGGGTTTTAAAAAAATTTTTTTAAATAAAAGGAAAATGTTAAATCTATTTAAATCAAGGAAGTAAAACACATCTTCCTTCTCTTTATAAGGACAGTTTATCGTAAAAAAATTGGACTAATCTCTATTGCAGAAAAAAGAGCCTTATGCGTTTCGCACCTTAATGGTGTTTAGTTCAAAGGATTTAAACTTGCAGAGGACTGAAATAAATTTTGTTATCTTTGTGAAGTAAGTCATTTGGTTATAAATCATGTTATGTAACGTTAATAAAATCCATGGCAATGGCTGTGGCTTTGCTAACGATGTGTATGTATGAGGAGCGATTTTTGGGATACGTTTTTAAATATAAGCGAACATTAAATATATAGCTGATCTATAAGATTTGTATGTAGCTTTAAAGGAACACTATAGTGTTAGGAATACAAAACTAGACTCCTAACACTATAAATGCCCCTCTGACCCTCTACTGGCCATGAAAAGGTTAAAAACCCTTTATCTAATTTTCGTGCTAAGGTCCCCCGGCGCTGGATTGGTCTCCTCCTCTTGTGACATTACAGCTATTGGGGAACCTAATGTGCAAAGGTATTAGGGCTTCCCCAAAGGAAAGTACCGAAACAATGCTTTCCTGTGGAGATTTTCAAGATGCTTGATGTCCTCATGCGAAGAGGTAGGACATTCAGCGTTAATTCACGGTGTTAAACTCCAGGAAGCACCACTAGTGACTGCCTGGAGAGACAGCCACTAGAGGGTGGAGTTACCCCTGCAATAAAATTATTGCAGTTTCTCAGAAACTGAAATGTTTTACATTGCAGGGTTAAGGGGACAAGGACACTGCACTCAGACTACTTCAATTAGATTAAGTAGTCTGGGTGCCTATAGTGTCCCTTTAAGCCAGAAAGATCCATCCCTTAGTAGGTCCAGGTTTTGTAAGGATTGTCATCGAACAGAAAAGGCAAAACTCTAAATCCTGGAATGTTGAGGTACATTAAGGAATGGGTTGAAACCACAGTTTTACATCAAGGCCATTGGAAATCAGACATCTAAAGTATAAGGAGTAGGATTAGATAACTTTTGTTCTTCTCTGTTAACTTCCCTCACAGTCTATGGTCCTTTTAATTTTTGTATATGCGCCATCACGAGGAGACATTGGTTGACATACATGTCACCAAAAATGTTCTCGCTGTGGTTGGTTTTGTGCTTCCTAACAGTAGAGCTCCTTCTTCCCTCCCAAGGTATAGAAAGAAAGTGGTATCATCAAAGGATCAATATAGTGTCAGGAAAACAAAGCGGTTTTCCTGCCCCTATAGTGCCCTGAGGGTGCCCCCTCCCACAGGGTCCCCTTCCCGTGGCGCTGAAGGGGTTAAAACCCCTTCAGTTACTTACTTTAATCCAGTGCCTGGCTCCCTCGGCGCTCGTGACCTCTCCTCCCCATCCGACGTCAGTGGAGCCAAATGCTTTCCTATGGACGCTCTGCGCGATGCATGCGAAATTCGGATCCAGCGTCGCAGATGCGCCTCTAGTGGCTGTTCGGAAGACAGCCAGTAGAGGCTGGATTAACCCCAAATGTAAACGTATTTGCATTTGAAGGGTTAAAACCTGAGGGACCTGACACCCAGACCACTTCATTGAGCTGAAGTGGTCTGGGTGACTTTAAGACTTGAAAAAGCTTAAAATGTGTTTTCTTTATATTATAATTTATATTAGATTGATTTAATCTTGTTTCACCTAAGTCCTATATACATAACTTATACAGCATTTAAACCTAACCAGAATGAGTACATTCCACCATGAGCACTTTTCAGCACAGTCATTGGCAAAACTAGTGTACAGAGCAGAAACATGGCGATCACTACAGTATAATACCTATAAATTACACATGTTCTTTTCTCAAGGTGCTTTTCAATAGAAAACATTTTACTGTCTGCTATGTAATGTCCCCCCACTCCATATTCTTATACTATGAATTTCTATTCTTGTAGATGTGCTTATTTCAGGAAAGAAAAGAGAAATTCATTACTTTTCTATGTTGCCTTACTAAGGCAGGTTATAGTCCTCCATTTTTACTTTTAAGACATTCCATAAAATGCTCTGCTGTTTATATACCTTTATATAAACACTGCAGACAGTCTGCTGATTTTCTAAATCTCGTTCTTCACCTCTTGTGCCATGCTTTTATAGGTAAGCTAAAATCTAATAATTTGCCATGTCAATAGCCATATTAATGATTGTATTTATTATTACTGACTCAACTGTTTGTTGCATAAATAGAAACCCTTCCAACTAACACATTTCAAACATTATGAGTCTATATACTTACTGAAACTCAGAGATTCTTTGAATAAGTAGTTCTGGACGGTTATCTATCTAAAAGATAGATGACATGCAAAAAAGAGCAACTACGACTTCAGCGAGGTTACAGATTATATTTATGCATTTTCTAGTAATTTGACTTAACTATGTATACAGTAGGTAGAAGCCTTTTTTGCCAGTGTTTTTTCGCCATGCAAAGCTTTATGGGGTAATGCATATCATGCACAGGAATATCTGTCCCACGTAAAATGTAACACTAAAGAGGCATGGAACCGATTACAAAAGACGGGTGGTGATGGTGGACGCCAGGAAATGTCCCTTCCAGCCAACACACAGAAAAAAGCAGGGTGTGAGTTTTTAAAACTGGTTAAAACAGTTTTTTAATGGTCTAATGTATAATGTTGTTTTTGTTTTTTGTGTCAAAATGGGGCTTAAGTTATATGTAGCTAGTGTAGGCTGTTTTGTGGACCCAGAACATAATTGAAAACGAGATAAATCTCAATGTATCTTTCCTGGTAAAATATTTTATAAATAAATAATTAAAATTAAGACACAATTTAAACATTTTAAATAATTGATCTACATAATGACTTTTATAAAATGTTTGGGGCCTTTTGACCTTTCCAGTTTTTGGTCGTAATGTTGCAATTTGTTACTATAGCAGCCATCTTGTTTTTTTTTTTCCTGCACTGGGCTAACCGTTAGTTTTAAAGATTAACGTCCTGCTTCAAAGGTGCAGTGTCCGAGCAGGCAACAATCTTGCAACATGTACAGTGTATAAGGTCGAATAGTGAACTATTTTGTGCGTTCTGTACCCTTGTTTTATGGCAGTACCATTAGTATAGATCGGAACAGTGTAAATTGGCTGTATCAAGAAGTGTGAATAATTTACAAGACATTTTAGGCTAAATGTTGGTGTTATCTATGAATTATACTACACAAATGCATTTTTTTTTTTGGAAATCACTAAATTGTAGGCTTAGTTATTTCTAATCGCATTCATTTCCATCTATATCACTTATTGACAGCAAGTTATGAAAACATATTAAGAAAGTCCTTCATATAATGGTGAATTGCCATTAGTTTTAGGTGTATTTAAAGTTTAAGGCCACAATAGATGAAATGGAATATTTCTCCAAGTTAGTTTGTGTTTTAAGTTCAGCTGTTTTGGCCTAAATATTTAAATTAAAGGAACACTATTGTCAACAAAACAACTTTAGCTTAACAAATCGTTTTTTGTGTATAAATTTATGTATAAATCACTTTGTTTCTGTTTATGCAGACCTAGCCACACCTCCCCTGGCTGTGACTGACACAGCCTGCATGAAAACAAAATGGTTTAATTTTCAATCAGATGTAACTTTAAAGGTTTTTATTTTCTGCTCTGTAAATTGAACTTTAATCACACACATGAATCTTCTGCAAGGTTTAGCCAGCTATTAACAGAGCAGGAGATAGGAAATTTTAATTTAACAAAATTTGCAATAAAGGAAGTTTAAACATTAAATCACTCTTAACAGGAAGTGTTAGGAAGACTGTGTAAGTCACATGCAGGGAGGTGTGGCTAGGGCTGCATAAACAAAGTTATTTAATTACTAAATGGCATATAATTGAGCAGTGATACTGTAGGGGCATGATCTATACAGCAAAACTGCTCCACTAAGCTAGAGTTGTTTTGGTGACTATATTGTCCCTTTAACGTCATATTCTCAAAATTCCAAATTTATAGGCCTAAGCCGTATCCATCTTGGCTCTTTGCATTAATATTTGCTTTTTTTGGCATTGATTCAGTACAATTCCTGGTTCCATGTGGCCAAATAAGTTGGATGGCTTGGCAAGCTGGGAGTTGTATGCCAATATCAGATGGTGCAAGAATTAAATACTTAAAAAAAATTTTTTTGTTAGCTTATCCTACATTCTTCACAAGATGGCACTAAAGCCATTTTCTAACTTTTTGCCTGCAGAACAACGAATGCAGAATCACTTTAGAATTTACTTTTGAATCAATAAATATCCTTTACTCGGTGAAACATAAAAAGATACTTCCATGATACACCGATTATTACAATATTCAGTTAACACTTAATATTTAAAACTTCAGTTCTCATAAAAACAGACCATGTACTTAACAATAGATAACAAAATTAAAGTGATACTCCGATAAAACATCCCCCACAAAGTTATTTCACTCAAGTCTCTTCCTCGCCAGAAGAGCCTGTAGCACACTACAGCATAGCAATGTGCTGTGCCATCTGGCAGCCAAAGGGTTAAATATTCTGTATTTTTATTTTTCCATTTTCAGCAGGGCTTCAGTCATCCTCCATGTATTTTTCCATTTCCCTAAGTTTCTTTACAAAATCCTGGGCCTCCTTGTCCATTCTCCCATCGAGCATTTTCAGAATAGATTTGACTAGAGAGAAGAAAGATAACACAGGTAAGAATATATTCCATTTATAATACTAAACATAAAAGAGCATGCAAATTAAGCATAGGGAAACCCAAATTAACCCCGACATGACATAGATCTTAGAAACATAGAAACATAGAATGTGACGGCAGATAAGAACCGTTTGGCCCATCTAGTCTGCAAAATTTTCTAAATACTTTAATTAGTCCCTGGCCTTATCTTATAGTTAGGTTAGCCTTATGCCTATCCCACGCATGCTTAAACTCCTTTACTGTGTTAACCTCTACCACTTCAGCTGGAAGGCTATTCCATGCATCCACTACCCTCTCAGTAAAGTAATACTTCCTGATATTATTTTTAAACCTTTGTCCCTCTTCCCAGGACTCTTACAAGAAATGGCTTTGCAAATTTCCCTAATGGAGCTAAACATGAAATTAAAATTGTGGGATGTGTACAAAGTATAATCAAAATTCACTCGTGTCTTCTCCATCAATTTTAAGCACACACCCAAAAATATATATTACCATTGGCTTTCGGTCTTGTCAGTTTCAGCACAGTTGGCTGCACATTTTTCACACCTCCTGTGATGTGAGGTCTGTTAAGTCCATATATAACATTCATGGGCAAGACAGCCTCACCAGCAAAATCATTTGTTGACAACCAGTCATGGTCCATAACCGTAAACACGATGCAAGCAGATTTTCTCCGGCACTGTTCGGATGAAACCGAGCTGTGAAAGGAGAGATTATTCACGTTAATTCTGATTTCCACTGTGTAAAATTACATTTACCATTATGATAAAGTTAAAAAAAATAACCGTAACAATCAGCCAGTATCTATATCTGTATATAGAGTTACCATATCCACCATGTTTTCATATACAGTTACCGTATCCACAATGGTTTCATATAGAGTTACCATATCCACCATGGTTTCATATAGAATTACCGTATCCACCATGGTTTCATATGGAGTTACCGTATCCACCATGGTTTCATATACAGTTGCCATATCTGCCATGGTTGCATATAGCGTTACCGTATCCACCATGTTTTCAGGGACACATCATTTTGTCACATTTATGCAAATTCATGAAAAGGAATGCCCTGCAGTATTGTATAATGCATATTCTGCAGGATTCTTAATTGCCTTAATACTTAATCTTATACACCATCTTCTAAATTGTACACACTACAGGGCTACCCCCTTTTCATGTGCTGCCCATCAATATGTATACATCATATATATCCCTGAAAACATGGTGGATATGGCAACACTACGTATAGGTCTTCTGAAATTGAAAGCATGTTTAAGCTTGTGTTGGATCAGTCATGTGCTAATAGTTGACAAGACTTATATTGGACTGCTTCATAGAATATACTTAAACATATTAACACTTATTTACCTTTTCAGTAACTGGGTACATTGGTTTGGTAGTGTCTGGTCATGAGATGGGTCAGTGGACAGATCTGCTGTTTTTTGGTTTATGCTTAGTATGTAGCACTCATGATTATTGTTGTGACTGATTTGATATTTTTCAATAAAGTTTTTAAAAGGATTGATTTTTATGAAAAATATTTTAATTGTTTTATATTTATATATATTTGATACAGATCATATATATTTTTTAATTTCATAATATGTTAAAAAAAAAATTAGATCAACCAATAATATAAGTTTGAGGCCTTGTTTTGTAAAAATGTCATGACTACAGAAATTAGTGTCTTTCATTAATCCTGCCCACTTTCTATCCATACCCAACCACACATTTAAAAAAAAAATTGTTTAAGAGCCATTTGGATATAAACCCAACCTGCTCAGTAGTTTGTCTATGCCTTATTTAGTAGTTACTCTGCCTGGCTAGCAGAAAAGTATGTACATGTACTAGTTTGTGCACCCCTCTTGCTCTCCAGATTACAAATATACGTACATTCTCTTTCTGTCTTATTATCTCGATGATCAAAGGGCATACGCTAATGTGCTACATTAGCGTAATATACACACTATAAAGGGTGCAGTTTTTTCAAGAGCCACTGACATTTGTATAAGTGGGTCTGACAAATTGAACTGGCTGCTGAATGGTTTATTAATGCAGAGCACTTTCTTTGCAGGAGTAAATTGATGCTGTTGTGTATGGCGTGTTGAATGTCCACAGCTCACCTCCCCTTTTGGAGTGCATTTATAAAGGACAGTGCCTGGTTATCTGAGCTATAAATCTGACATCTACTGGCATTTATCATCTATAAAAATTATAAATACATATATACTAAAGGTACAGATAATGTATTCACAGGACATTAAATGCATGTCAGAAGCTGCCTCTTCTGAGAGCATGATGCACAGCGGGATAATTATCCAAGGTAAGTTAGAATATGGCATTGGGAAATAATGACACTTCTATTTTTACTTGCACAGTGCTTCTGGTGCCTTATTAATTCCTGGGGCGCTGCACACATGCATTTACACTGAACAAAATTATAAACGCAACACTTGTTTTTGCCCCCATTTTTCATGAGCTGAACTCAAAGATCTAAGACTTTTTCTATGTACATAAAAGGCCAATTTCTCTCAATTATTGTTCACAAATCTGTCTAAATCTGTGTTAGTGAGCACTTCTCCTTTGCCGAGATAATCCATCCACCTCACAGGTGTGGCATATCAAGATGCTGATTAGACAGAATGATTATTGCACAGGTGTGCCTTAGGCTGGCTACAATAAAAGGACACTCTAAGATGTGCAGTTTTATCACACAGCACAATGCCACAGATGTCGCAATGTATGCCTACTTAAATCTGCTCCACCATGAGAGGGTGCTGCTTAGGAGGATGGCGGGACACATTATTCACTTGGCACGTTAGCCAGCTGTACAACTGTTACCGGGGTCAGGGAGCCCCATGAGGTTGACCACCAGGCCCTTATATAGAGTTAGGGACACACAAGACAACATCTTCACAGGGCAGATGGAGGGGTCCCTGGAGACCTGTTTCAGTTTTCAGGAACATGTTTTGAATAGTTTTGAGTTATATAACTATTACAGCTCGATAGAGCTGCCCACTTTCTTCCCATTTCAGCCCTTGGGCCATCTACATAATGTACAAGGATTGATCTAAAGTACATTCACCAATATATCAGGGAGATGTGATACTCTGACGAGGTTCGGTTTTGAGTAGTGATCTCAGGTCCTTCGGACTGGACTGGCGCGGAGGCTCCCGGCTTCCTCCAGTTTCCTCGCAGGACAGAGCATCCAGAGTTAGGTGGATGAGACCCGGTGGACCACTGGTTGGTTCCACGCACCTCGATCCCCTGACGCTTATTCCTAGTCGTTACTACAGAGTGACGAGACTGCTTAATATATTTCATCTTCTACCTCTGACTTTCACCCTCCACCCTTTCCCTTCCCTGACATTCATCATTCCCTGCCCCCCTCCGCCCCGCTCCTCCTCTCTCCTTTTTTCTTTGACTTCATGGACTCACACCCCCCCCGACTTTGACTGCTAGAACTGCTCTAGTGCCCAAAGTGCTTAGCGCTCTACCGGGACCAAGATGGCGCTTACACCAAGCAATCTCACCATCCTCTTTATAAACGCTAGAGGGCTTAATAAGCCGGAAAAAATATCCGGATCCTTAAGGGATTTTCACGCAAAAAGAGCCTCCATGGTCATGATCCAGGAGACACACTTCAGGGAGGGAGACAGGCCAAAACTGACCAATCACCACTTCCCACAGGGGTACTATAACAAATTCTACGGGTCCAGGGGCACGGCCTACTGATCAGCAGAAAAAGGGGAGTATGGTGGACCGGGAGGGTAGCTTCCTATTCCTTAAGGGCACAATTGCGGGACAACTCTACACATTCGCATCCATTTATGCACCGAATGATAAATAGTACCGTGTCTTTCAACGCACCATACGTAAGTTACAGACCTTCATCGAAGGGGCTCTCATCGTAGGGGGTGATTTCAACATAGCTTTAGACGGTAAATGGGACAGCCCCACAGGCACTTCTCGTGTCCCCACTCAACAACTTACTATTATTAAATCCATACTCGCCAAATACAGACTCATTGACTGCTGGAGAGCACACCACCCGACGAGTGGGATTACACTTTCTACTCACACCCACACCGCTCCTACACCCGACTGGACTACTTCCTCATGGCACAATACAATTTCCCCCTGGTGCTGGACGCAAAACTCGGGGTAGCGACGTGGTCAGACCATGCCCCGATCATAATCACACTTAAATCCCTTCTTTTCAGTCCCACGATCTCCAAATGGAGGTTGAACGAGTATCTGCTATCCCAATAGGACCTACCCGACCACATAGGGAAGGACCTTACTGACTACTTCCAGACCAATGCACCTAACGAGACCTCCCTGACAATTCGGGGGTAAGCGCATAAGAGCATGATAAGGGGATATTTCATACAACAGGGAGCCAATATCAAAAAACAAATACAGCCCTAATTAATGAGATAATTGAGGACATACACAAACACGAGTAGCTAAACAAGCACTCGCAGCACCCTACCCACCAGACGGCGCTGCTTCAGCTGCGGTGAGATTTTACTTCCCTGATTCACTCCAAATACCACAGGGATGTACTTAGACATAAAGCCTTTTTCTCCCTACACAGCCAGAATGCTAGCAAAATGGAGGCAGACAACATATATAGACAGGATTCGAGATAAGCAAGGCCCCCTGCACCGCTTACCCGCTAAAATTATGGAGGCGGTTCGCACGTACTACTCAGAGCTATATTCACTCCAGCAGCCCCAAACCAACGCAGCGAAAGCCCGCTTACAGGACTCCATTTCAGCAAAACACGACGAAGCAATCCCTGCCCACATTGGACAGGGGCATCTCTGACCAGCTAGATGAACCAATCTCCCTAGAAGAACTAGCGATCATGATCAAATGCACTAAACATGGCAGAGCCCTGGCCCTGACGGACTACCACAATGTTATTATAAACGCTTTGCTGGCTTCATTCAACGCAGTGAGGGAGGGACACCACTTTCCCAAACATGCACTGACAGCACACATCACCATCATCCCAAAGGAGGGTAAGTACTGGTCAAATTTAAGATGGAAATGGCCAAATAGTCCTACCCACACATATCCTGGCTAGGGAGAGTTCAGGTTATTAAAATTTATTTCTTCCCGCGCTTGCTGTACCTGCTACAAGCCCTCCCCATCATGATTCCCAAATCCTTCTTCACCTCCCTGCACTCAACGATGGGGTACTACGTATGGAAGGGGAAAAGGCAGAGAGTTAAGCTTCCTGCACTTATGCAGCGTAAGGACCGGGTGAGGCCTGGCAATGCCGGACTTCTACCTCTACTTTGGGGCATGCCACCTTCAAAGAGTTATGGAGTAGAACAAGACAAATGTCCACAGACTGTGGAAGGTGGCTGAAGCTTCGAAGGCAGGCAAACCTGTCTCTGTCCTGCCATGGCGTTCCGGGAGGAAGGACGGACAAGCATTCTCTGTATACACACGACACACCCTACTCGTCTGGTGGAGAGTCTCGGGGACTTACAGGCTGACACAATACCCATCACCTCTGTTACCCTTAACACACAATGACGACTTCCCACCTGGACTAGACCTGAATGCCTTTAGGGACTTGATACGCGCTCCCAATCCCTGACTCCACCATGTTCATACCCAGGAGGGCTGTAAAAAACTTCCCGATCTCCAGCTGATGAACTTCATTGACACTCTCCCAAAAGGACGAGCACTCGCCAGGAAACCAACCCAGCCCCATGGAATTTCCTTCCTGTACTCAATGTTGCAGAGGGAGACCCCAATGGAGAAACAAGCTTTTATGGGTAAATGGGAGACATCCCTAGGTAGGACATTTACTGTCAGTGAATGGGAAAAGATATGTTACCTCACGAATCACTGACTCATTGGTATTACACACTGGCCCTTTTTTTTATTTTTGTATTCTTTATTTTATTCGTGCATAGGTTAGGTATGCAAGTTTGCACTGCCACAACAGCAGGTGCGCACTTAACATCAGGTAGAGTATAACAATTGTGTGACATGCGGGACAATGCACTTTTTATATTATTGATGATAGGTCTGGTAACTAGATATGCCTATATGTCTCAGCGGTTAGTAGCATTATACAAAAAAATACAACGTGTGCTGGCACTCAATTACATCTAGGTGCCGGTATTCGAGGTTAACCCCAAAGACAACCTCCAAATCACAATCATAAAAACTATATTATGAATACCGCACTTTAATAGTAATAATGATACTAGTTGTTATTGCTGAGAAAAATTCATAATGTTTATTCTAAATAAATTTATATGAAGTATGGTAGTAGAAATGTTCATTTCATCCTGAGTACACCAATTATATACAATGAATATATACAATATATACAGTATATACAGAATTTTCCATATGTTGGATAAAGTTCATCTAATGTGTATACACTTGGTGATGATTCATTGAAAAGATGAAAAAATGAAAAAAAATGAAAAAAGTGAAAAAATGAAAAAAATGGAAAAAATGAAAAAATCCCCAATCCAAAACAGAAAAGAGGAAAGGGGAAATAAGGAGAAACAAAAGGATGGAAAAAAAGGAAAAAAGGAAAAAAACAGGAAAAAAACAATCTGAGAGTCCTGGTAGTCCAATATAGTGAACTATATATAGCTATATATGGATGGATCTCACCAATGTAGAAATCTTTTTCTTGGTGTACACAGTCAAAGTTGTAATCAGATGATGATCTAAACGAAGGTGAAGGTAATGATAGATGTAGAAGACGGACAGTCACTCCATCAGCTCTCAGTAGGTGTGTGGTCAGAATCGGCTCCCAGTGGGTATGTGGTCAAAACGGCAACGGACTTGCTCAGGCAATCTAATCTTTGGACGGGCTGCGCGCTCGGGACATATCTGTCCCTTCGACGGCCCCTGTGTTCTGTTAAGCAAGGTAAAAAGTAATTTAAATACCTGTTGTTGGCGGCAAAACATAGCCGCATCCACTCCACGAGATTCCGTTATGTTTTGCCGCCAACAACAGGTATTTAAATTACTTTTTACCTTGCTTAACAGAACACAGGGGCCGTCGAAGGGACAGATATGTCCTGAGCGCGCAGCCCGTCCAAAGATTAGATTGCCTGAGCAAGTCCGTTGCCGTTTTGACCACATACCCACTGGGAGCTGATTCTGACCACACACCTACTGAGAGCTGATGGAGTGACTGCCCGTCTTCTACATCTATCATTACCTTCACCTTCGTTTAGATCATCATCTGATTACAACTTTGACTGTGTACACCAAGAAAAAGATTTCTACATTGGTGAGATCCATCCATATATAGTTATATATAGTGCACTATATTGGACTACCAGGACTCTCAGATTTTTTTCATTTTTTTCATTTTTTCCTTTTTTTTCCATCCTTTTGTTTCTCCTTATTTCCCCTTTCCTCTTTTCTGTTTTGGATTGGGGATTTTTTCATTTTTTCAATTTTTTTCATTTTTTCACTTTTTTCATTTTTTTTCATTTTTTCATCTTTTCAATGAATCATCACCAAGTGTATACACATTAGATGAACT